AGTTTTTAGGGTAAGGATTTTAGAAAAAAGTATCGTCTTATAGTCGGAAAAATACAGTAATCTAGAAGAAATGCCCTCTTTTTTGCAGCTATCAAACGTGCCTCTTTCTGACCTAATTCCTAACCCACACCCCCTGCTTCACACAAACATTGTTACCACCATCCTTTGCTTGGCAAAACAACCTTGTTTGAAAACCATTTTTTTTTTTATTATGGTGAGGTGGAGAAGAGGCTCCTCCACTGAAGGTCTGCCTTTTGGTCAGCGTTTCTTTCCTTTGCCTCGAGACTTGCTCTTCCGCCGGCTCCCCCAGGAGCAGGATCTGATAAGGGAGAGGAGCTTGCTGGGCTTCCGGGATGAGTCTGCAGAGAAGCAAGGAGACCAAAAGAAGGTGCTGCTTCAGCCTCCCAAGAGGTGTTAAGGGCAAGGGCAGACCCCCCTTCTGTAGCTGGAGGTTGGATTTTTTTTTAAAAATAAGGCCTCCCAGGGTCATGGGGTAGGGGATTAACATGGAAGCGAACCACCCCTGGGAATGCCAACTGTTAGGGGGAATGGATGGTGCAGGAAGAATGTGAGTCTGATGCTGGCTATCAGCTGGAGCAGACCTCAGTGATAAGCAGCCAAAGGACAGGGGCATTTGGATGAGAATTAGCCTGTCCTACCTCTCCGGGGTGATTTCTTTCTGCCTGCTCTGCCGCTCTTACTGGTTTTCCTGAAAGAACAGTCCCCAAGAAACTCTTTGAATCTCCTCAAACTCTCCACAGGAAGCACCTCAAGCTTTGCATCCTTTAATCACATTGAAAGTCTTGCTTTGGGCTGAAGAACCCGGGCTGCCAACCTGTGCTCTCCAGCTGTGTGCTGGATTGTAATATTCAGATTCCCAGCCAGGTGGCTACTCAACTCAGTGTGCCTTATACATTAAGGAGGAATGCAAAAAATTGTGCTAGAAGTCCCACCCAGTCATTCTCAAACCTCTTTTGCATCATCTGTGCCAGAGATGCACAACTTTTGTTAGGCTGATGGCTACACTTGGCCTTCGAGATGGAAACAGAACAAAATCTACTTTTTTATATTTGGTCAGAGTCTGTACTCGGTTCAAGCTCCATATAAATCAGATTTATGACTGAAACTTAGTCTATTCCCTTTCTTTACAGTAAGCTTTCCTAACTGGTGCCCTCCAGTGTATTGAGTTACACCTCCAATTACTGTCTGGAAACAATGGAAGCTGTGGCTCAACACTTCTAGGGGGTATCATATCAACTGAGGACATCATGGCTGAATAGAAATGTGAACCTAAATCTTTCCAGTTCTAGTTAATCAGGAACACTGAGATGGGGAAATTACGAACTTTCCAGATGCTGCTGAATGCCAACACAAAGCATCTCCCAGTGTTGGCTGTGCTGGTTGAGTTGCTGGGAGCTGTCATTCAGCAGCATCTGAATGACAGCTCCCAGCACAGACTCTGTACAGCACCAAGTACAGACTCAGTACAGCACCAAGTACAGACTCTGACCAAATCAGCATGTTCCACTACTAATCAGAATACCTCACTTGCTTTAGCAGCTATCCCCATCCCATCTACCACTTCAGCTATAGATTGTTTTGTGGTTTAGAGCTAAAACCCTACCAAGAAAAAGCAAGTTCTCTTGACCCACCACCACTTCCATCAACCTGACATCCAAGTTCTTTTTTTTTATTATGGCAGCATAGAAATATGGTAATAAATAAGCCAGATACCTGGTTGAAGAAGGACTGCTTCCAGCCCTCTCCTTCCTACTGCCTCGGCTCTTGCGACTGGGAGGTCTTTCAAAAGGCTGTGGGGACCTCCTTCCCTCTGAAACTGGGAAGCTGTCAAAGTCAAATGCCTTTTCTTCACTGGCAACGGGAGACCAGCTGGGTACTTGGGAGCTTGGCTGGCTCCCCATGGACATTATCAGACTTTGTCTGCTCATGACGTCTTCATGGATAAGGCTGGGTGTTTCAGATGCTGAGTAGATACTCTGGATGCTCACTTTTTCTTCTAGAGTGAAGGATCCTGGTGGACTCTAGAACAGAGAAGGAACAGAAAGGTTTATGGTTAGGATTAGGTAAGAAATAAATCTTACTTGTGTATCATTTTTGGAATGCTTTCCAAGCAATACTATAGCCCTAAGTAGGCGTGGGAAACACTCCTGTCTGAAACCCTGGGGAGCATCTGCTAGTCAGTGCCAATAGTACTGGGCTAATTGGACAAATGATCTGGCTTAGTATAAAGCAGCTTTCTATGTTCCTTCCCTTCCCTCTGTTGACACTTGGACTGTAAACGTCTTGGACCAGTATCCTTTGTGCTTATATTATTCTATGACATGCCATTCCACTGATGATATGAAAACAAATAAGAGATAGCAACAGAAGGACAGTACACCTTTGACCTGTAGGGTGGAGTGGAGCTATCATGTCTCCCGAGGTCTTTGACCCTGCTGTGAGATTTTGTGCTCAACTCTGAAGGTGGCCGCAGCATATTGACCACCTTGACCCACAGGCCAAAGACATCTTCTTGGGTGCCAGGCTGGGGACAGAGCTGCAGGTAGAAGGTACGGCCACTTGCCAGCTTGAATCGCAGCTGCTTCTTCTCTGGATTGTGGAGTGAGATCCTAACCAGACACAGAGGGAAAAGCCTGCAAGATGGAGAGGAAGACAAGGGGCATATGGAATACGGCTGACACTTGAGTTACACAACTTTTTCATATTTATAGCTATTAGAATACTAGCGGATAATGTGACCATTTGAAAGTGATTGTTTTGCTCAGTACATTTATTCATAAAATAAACCAATTTAACAATCTTTAATAATATACTCTGCAATCCCTGTCTGAGTTAATGCAATGGCCAACTGAAATAATTAAATCATCACCTAATGAATGAGGGAAAAACATTCAAAATCTACAGTTGGCACTAAGTTTATTAAGACCATGTAAAATGGCACTAAACATATAACGTGAGAAAGAGTGACAGGTCCAAAGTTTCCTAGTCATGACTAGATCTAAACATGGACTAGGACTCGGGTTTCATCATTTGCTGGGCAACATTTTAATGACTATACCACACTGGCTTAGTCTATTTGATTCTTAACCCTACAGAAAATATATCATCCCAGCTAATAAGAGATGCCAATCTATAGTAGATCTGAGAAAGATGAGAATACATCTCAGCCTCTCCATTACAGAGAGAAAAACTAAACCCACCTGGTGAGCTCATATCTCTTAGCTGGGAGGCGGGGATGGACGAAGGATTTAAGCTTTGGAGGCGGCTCTTCAGGGGGAAAGATGGGGCGAGCCAGAAGTAATACATTGGGGACCAGCAGACTGGGACTTGTGCAGGCTACTGCAACAGTAACCGTCTGGACTTGATTATGTACGTCAATCACTTCTCCTCGCTTGCTAATCTGCAGAGAACAGGACAGGATTAATGCAGAGGCAGCCCTTTTGTGAAGGCAAGTAGGCAGGGGACTCCTCCCTCCAGAATTTTAGGTACCCTGGTGAAATAACCCTAAATAGGACTTCAAATTGCTGAGCTTTTTTATTTTGTAAACATTTCTTGGTGCTAGGTGACATCAAATAGAAATGATGGATTTGAGATTCCTGTTCAGATGTTTAAGCTCTGTACATCCATCTAGGCTTGCTTTATAGATTGGCTGTGGTGGGGAGGAGGTAAGCCTCCAGTGATTGCCTTCCACAGGGAACCAAACTCCAGTCAGTTTCAGCCTCCAGGGACTGGGAAAATGGGAGTTTTAGTGCCAATATATTTGTAGAGCAAGCATTTGGGAAAAGTCAGCCTGTATGACAGTTGTACAATTTACCCTCCTCTAGTCTCTCACTGTTCCACTCTGTTTTCTATTAAACAAACCAAATCAAATTCTAAATTTTGGCGTCACAGTTACCGTAGCATCTTATCTAATTTGGTCTTATCTCTTCAAGCTGACATCGGGATGAGCAGGAAGAGCTTTGACTCTTCCTTGTTACGACTGCAATTTTTAAATAGGCCCTCTTGCTTGGCTTTTATTAGCTACTGTACTTGCTCTCTGGGTTATTATCAGATAGTAACACTTACTATAGCCAAATCATTACAGCTTCCCTTGCTAATTTATTAAAATCAAGACTGCTGTTAGAGGCGCAAAAGCTGCCTTCACTATTTATTTGTTTTTACTGCCATTTGGCAGGCTTGATTGTTTTCTCATGCTCCCAGGAGCGCAGAGATTCCACAAATTCAGCTTTTCCTGGAATGTGAGAGAGCGAGGAGAGGAAGGGAGACATATGCCTTATCTTCTCTCCGGAAGCTGTGGCATAAGGATTGGGGTGCCATATAAGAAAGGATAGGCAATCTACCTAAATGTTACCAACATAATTGGTTGGAGAAAATTGATCCCAGGAAGAGGAAGAATCAGCAAGTTTCAACAGTGAATGTTGCTCTTGACTGATAAATAGCATTGCATCCATTTAATTCATCATAATTCTCATTTCTAATTAAGGGTTTGGAAAGATGGGGGTCCTACTATTGCCATCCACTTTTCTTGTTACTCTTACTTGCTCTATTTTGGTACCTTGAATAGCAGCCTGGCATGTAGGAAATGAATCATCCTGAGCTCTTATCACCATATTCCAGTGCCAACAACGACAACCTTTCATCTGCTAAATTTCTATATGGCGTGATAGAGCTGATAAGACACAGAAACAGCTGTTGTATTGGATGTCTTGGATTTATTCTCCTACGCATTTTGGATAGTTCCTTTATCAAGAAGAACTCTATAAAGTAAAATGCCGACCCAAAGTCTTCTTTTCTCAGCAAAAAAACTTTGGTCAGCATTTTACATTATAAAGTTCTTGAAAGAAGTGTCTAGCATGTGTAGGAGAATAAATACAGATGGCCAAGTCAATACCTGTTCTTAGAGGTTTTTTCCCCTTTGCTTGTACTGCTGTTTAGGTCCCCCCCTTTTTTTCCTTCCAATAAAACACAAACATATGTGCACACACAGTTGGCAATTCTGATGAGCCTCAGGAATACTATCAATTTAACCTCCATATTTCTTACACGGCAAAATCATCATCCTTCTCTCACCTGCTTTTTACAAAATTTATTACGGTAGGTTGAATATATCATGAAAAGGCTCGTAACAGAAGAGTTTGGTTTCCCTCTAGCGCTTGTTTTTATGACCAATTTCACTGAGTGTGACTCTAGTTTTGTTCCAGAGCAAAAGGACAAACTGGAGGAGCACTGAAAAGGACACCCCCACTTTATACATTTTTTGATATGAGTGGATGGTTTGGAGGTCCCATCAGGGGTATCTGAATGGCCATCACCGACTCAGAAGCTATTTCTGGTTCCACTGTTGAAGCATATGCAATTTGATGTTGCTTTGTTCTGCTATCAGAAACTTAATGTTAAAAAGGATGTTGTTGTTATAGGCACTGTTGGAGGCAGGTGACAAAAATAACAAACACCTGGCAATCAGAAATCATCCTCAGACATACCTGCACAAAGTCACTTTCCAACATGGGAGCAAACTTGAGTAAGTCATATTCTCCATGGCGGAGCTGGTTTTGCAAGGGTCCCATTTCCCTATCGAAAAGTCCTTTGCCATAGTCGCCTCCCGCTGAGATAATGGGCATCCGGGACCGTAGCATCTTTCCTCATCCTAAACCAACATTGTGCATAGAAAATTGTGAGAGTCGGACCTTCTGTGAGTTAATGGCCCTGCAGGGTCAAGTGGTTAGATGACTACGTAAGTGCAAGTTCAAATTCCATAGCTACCAGAAAATCTACTCCCATGTTTGGAAACAGCTATCCAGAAAGTTGCAGCATGACTCTTGCAGGGAACTATTAAAAGGTGCATAAAACTCCCTTGTTAAAATAGCTCATATTGTCTAACTCTCTGTTTGTAAACCAAATTCAAAATGTTGGTTAAGAACTACACAGTGTTTTGCTAATACAGATGACATTTTTTGAAAGGCAGTGTTCTTTCTTATGAGCCTGCACAGATGTAAAATTTTGCAGAAAAGGCTCTTCGGTTGATCTTCCCACTCTTCGAGATGTGTTGGAAAGAATGGAAGAAACAGCCTTCCTGAGAAATGCCCTCCAGGTTTTGGAATTCATTGCCAAAGGAAATGAGGTTAGCTGATTCTCCATTCTTTCTGCAAAGACAAAAACATTTTTATTCTGGCCAAACTCTTCATTTTATCAGTGCATTTTAAAACATGTTTAATGATGCTTTAAATGCATTTTATCCCTGCTTGTATGATAAAACACACACATATACATAACGTGCATGTGTGTGAGTGTCTTGTATTTTGTATAAAATGCCATTTCTTAGTAGAAAGGCTGGGCACCAATTCAATAAACAAATGGTACATGAAGATGGAACATGGTCACCATGATGCTGTACTTTGGCCTCATCAAACTTGGGGCCTTGAGGAGGTCTCGGAGTATAACACCCATCATTCCCAAACATAATGCTAGGTTGGGGTGATGGAAGATGTAAACCAGCATTTCTGTAGAATACCAGGATGGACAAAGCTGGCATGCAGGCTTTTCCGGAAGTAATTTAAACAATTAACAGAATTAACTAATCTAACTAACTATTAGTTTATTTTACACCTAATATCTCATAGCCTGAATCTGTGCTTTCCTTAAGTATGTAGCAGATCATCAAAAGAGCAAAATATGGGATTCAACAGACTTTTGGTCTGATCCAGCACTCTTATATTCTTAATTTAGAACTGCAATTTTAAAACCAGCAGCATACTCAATATTTTAAAAATTCAGCACAGCATCTTAATTAAAAGCAGCTTGGAATAAATGAGATTCAAGGCTCAATTAAAAGCCTAATTTATAGCCCTTGGCAGGGAGTTCCGCAGATAAGGGATATCCATTGCAACGTTTTCTGCTTAAACATAATAGTAACTGCGATACCATCAGGCATTTCCCATAGGTATGGTACCATTTCTATGAATGGTTCCTATATGCACATTTACCATTTACTGACAGGAAAGGCAGCCAAGGAAGTGAATGGGCCACAATTGATCATACATACTACATCCATCCATTCATCCAGCTTGCATCACTTCAGATTCAAATTTCTTATACCGAGTTGGTTCTCATAATCAGATCTTATTCATATGTGATACCTAATAATCAAATATGTTCATGCATGAGTATGAAGAACCATTTAACAAGGAAGGGCTTCTTCAAAATAGCTTTTGGGTACCCAGACCAAAAGAGCAGGACAGAAAATTTGGAAGGTCTGTTAATTGTCTGGGGACATGGAAGAAAAGCTCAACTTTTGCTCATCATTTTTTTTTAAGGCTTCCTTACCGTTATTGGATGTGACAGCTTCTGCTCTTAGATAACTGTTTTTGGTAGCAATTTAAGATGACTTCAGCTAGACAGAACCCCTGTACCCCACCCCATATCTGTGGGTCTAGGACTCACTGATTGTCTTTATGGAGCTTGTAATGTATGTTCTTCAATGTTTACTGCCCAGAGCTGCTGGATGTATGCCTTCTCTCCTTTGGCTTGGGGGCAATTTTGTGATGTCACCATTGTCTCTATGACCTTTTTAGCCCAAGGCTGGGTGGGTAGGGTAAACAGGAAAGAGTTGGTGGGAGCAAGTCTCCACTCACCTATCAGCCAAGTTCAGGATATAATGAAGTTCCTTCATCCCACATCAAGGGGCTTCCTTGTCTTCCCTAGTGAAGAACACAAAAGAAAGGTGAAAAATGAGTTTGAAGCGAACTTTGGAAGCATTTTTAAAACATGCTGTGAAACCCAGTCCCCTCCATTTTTCTTCTGTCTCCATTATTTCTCAGTTATCTTTCTTCTACCATCTCAGGTTTCTTCTCACTTCAGCCAATAGTAGGTGAAGCTGGAACCATTAGCCATTGTCTCCTTCCCTTCTATTATACTTAAAGATGCAGTACCATTTCTTAATATCTATCTGACAGAAGTAGGAATTCAGCAACTTTTTGATGGCCAGGTAGGAACCTCATAATGTTACCACATTGGGTAAGACTGGAACTTTCAAGATTTTTCTTTCTTTTGGAAGATAGATGTTGAGAAATATTTTGGAGGGATGAACATGCAAAGCTTAAATGAAAGCTGACACATCAGTTTACCTCCACCCTCTCTCTCGTTCTCTCTCTCTCTCTCTCTCTCTCTCACACACACACACACACACACACAGAGGGAGGGAGGAAGAGCGATGAGAATTATGCTACTATTTCTTAGCAGCTTGAGGCTGAAATTTCCAGGAACTCTGGGGACCTAAAAATAAGATTCGATGTTAGGCATGGCTTATGAGGCCTATGGTGACCAGGACTATTAGAGGATAGACTGTGGCAGAGGAAATAATGGGAAGCCGGGCCACTCCATCTGGAACTTAAGGCTATTTTAACACTTAAAGCATTCTGAGCAGCTTTTCTGACTGCAGTAAAGGACTAAAAGTCTTTCATGTACTTACAAATGTAACTAGATGTAGCCTTTCTCTTCTAGAGTACAGGGCGAGGGGGGATATGGTAGGGTCACCAGCTGCAAAACTCTAGACAACCACTAGAAGGGAGTTCAGAGATACAGAAAACTTTGTTGACATCTGGGCTTCCAAACTTTTGCAACCCAGATCTGGAAGCTTTAGCTTGATAAACTGAATTTGGGAAAATGCAGGTCTGTTTAATAGATGCATACACCGTGGGACTACTAGAGCTGTACTGCAAAAATCCAGAAGATCACCAGATGTCTGCCATCTAGTGGCGTTCTGGATTTCTGCAGCCAGATCTGGCCTAATAGGTAGGTGGATGGGAATGCAGCTGGGGAACGGTCTAGGAAAGAAGATTGTGAAGAGTACAGTTGGAAATGTTTTAATTTAGACTCTTACAGTTGGTGCCTGTCAATATATAACTTCCAGAATTCACAGCCAGCATAGCCTTCCTGTCATCCGCAAACAATAGCTATATTGTCACTGCTGCCAGCTGTCACACACAGCCATCGGAAGGCTTTCTCTCTTGCCCGATGTCATGCGCTCCCTTCTGCAGGATTGAATGGCAAATATGAAAAAGTAGTATTGGCAAAAAAGCTCTGCCCGTGTGATTCTGGAGAGGTGGAAACCACAGAACATGTTCTTCTTTGTTGCTTGTTCTATAGAGACATTCGAACCAGATTTATCCTCTCTCTGATCAGCAGATACCCAGATCACTCTGACTGGGCCTAGGCCCAGATGCTGCTTACAGACAAACCGCCATTTATTGCCACACACGAGGCTATGTTTTGCGCAGCAGCATGTAAGATCCTCCAGACCGTGATAGGGCAAGCTTCTGTTACACAGATATATTTTATGTAAATAAAATTTATATAATTTTAGGTATCATATCTATATTTCAGATATCATCACATTTTTATAATTTTAGATGTTACAATATTTTATGTAATTTTAGATACTACCTCACTTATAACCTAGACATAGACTGCTCCTTCTGGACTTTACTCATGGGTTCTAGTCAGATTGTTTTATAGATGTATTTTAATTTTGTCTCCAATGTTATTTGATTTCTTAGATTTTCAAGTGCTCACAGATCACTCACAGACTCGTTTCTTGCATTGGTCTAAGACTGTAATAAACTGACTGACTCTACTGGCTGGGATTCTGGATATTGAAGTTTTGACACATCTGCAAAGTGTCATGCGGGGAGGCGGCTGCAATAATACATAGTTATGACCCTGCAAGTTATTTCAGACTTCCTTTCCTCTTACATCATCCATTCCTTCCCTACTTGTTGTGTTGCACATCACATTATTGGTTGCTAACAAAGAAGTATAAATGTGTTGATGAGAAAATAAGGGAGGGCAAGATTGGCAGGCAGATGTCTCTAGGCAGAGGTGTAATTGACCTGGAATTGAAAAAGATGGCTGTGGGCTTGGTTAAAAAAGACAGGCAAGGCTGAGCTGATAAATTTGATGCCATGGAGGTTAATAGAGCGACTCAGGAACAATTGCCAGCCCAGAATACCAAATGGTATTGAAAGAGATCCTGCATGACTTTTCAAATGGGTTACCACTTTTTCTTTTTAATAGGTAAAAATGCACCTTGTCTTTAACTTATACACCTGTATAGGCAGAGAGGGATTCATTGGGTAATCTCTTTGCCTGGAGAAACAGTTACTTCTTGAATTCTTGCCTGTTTTGTAGCTATTACACATCCCAGACCTTCCATACATATTAATGAGAGCATATTGAACTCGACCTCACTGAGACTCAGGGACATGCCTCCACTCCCCACCTCTCTCTGTATGTTGCTTTTGTAAGCTAGGTTATTTTGATTCTAGTAGTGCTACTGTAACAGGAAATGAAAAACTAAATGAAAAAGAAACTATTACAGATGGTCTTACCTCCTAACAATGGTAAAAGTACTGTGGTGGATTTTATTAGTTGTAAGTTATTATTTCTCACCTTCTGCACAAGGGATGTGTGACCTGAAGTGCTACCAACGTTAAGGGCAACCTTCCCATAACTTCCAGCTAGCATGGTCAGTGGTCAGATTACGATAGCTGATGTCCAAAACATTTTGAAGATAGCAGGTTGCCTTTCCATCTTCCCTCACCTCAAAATGATTTTGGCAATCCACATGCTTGTTTGGAGCTCACACACACATGCCTGAAGCTCACAGAAATGAGGCTGTGGTTAATAGGAGTACTGCATAGTAGTGTGGCCTCTCTAATAAACGGTAGAGTAGGTTTTCCCAACCCAGTGCCTTCCAAATGTGTTGGGCTTCAGTTCCCAACATCCCATAAGACATTAGGGGATGATCAAAGTTAATGGCCAAACTGACTGGGATTATGAAAGCTACAGCAAATGTTGGGGACATTTGAATTAGGATGTGTGGAGAAGACAGAAAGGAAGCCAAAGTGATTTGAAAACAGCAGACAACATGATGCGTGTTCAGCTCCATCCAGAAATGTCTTCCGAACTTATCCATTTGACAGCACGGTGTGTCGACCAAAGCAATATATGAGACAGATGCAACTCTGGAAGATGCCAAATGAGACACAACTGACAGTTAACAAGCCCCATAACAGGATACACAATCCTGAATTTTATTTTTTTTAACTGAAGATTTTTTAAAAGGAAGATAAAAACTAATCCAAAGTAATATAAAGTGAGAAAAAAAAAAAAGAAATCAAAGAGAAAGCTAAGAGTGCAAAAAAGTAAAAGAAAGTAAAAGAAAAATAGAAAAGAGAGAGAAAAAAACAAAGAAGTAGTAGCTTCTGGTCGTCTTTACAGCAGTTATAAGTACAATTATAAATTTACTTCTTACTCTATGGTTACAACATAGCTCCCTTCTTTCTATAATCTATTCTGTCTAATCATCAAACCATAAATCACAAGTTCCTTTTTTTCTGTTTCATGCAAAAAGTCTATAAAGGGTTTTCAGTCAGCAATAAATGTAGATATTGTCTTTTCTCTGATCAGATAAGTCAATTTAGCCATCTCAGCAAGTTCCATCATCATCATCAACTATTCCTCCATTGTGGCTAGTGCCAAATCTTTCCATCTTTGTGCATACAATAACCTTGCTGCAGCTATCATGTACAAAAACAAAGTTCCATGACTTTTTTCTGTTTGTCCATCAGTCCCAAAAGAAAAACCCCTGGTCTCAATTGTATATTAATCTTTAGCATCCTCTGAATCAGTGTATGTATTTGAATGCAGAAATTTCTAGCTTTTTACACATCCACCAAACATGATAAAATGTCCCTTCTT